CATTTACAGTCTTTATTATGATCTGTAAATGTAAAATACTGCTATGAGCCTACAAGTAACAAAATTAATTATATTTTGATTACTGCTTTCTGAGCATTCCCTTGGTCACATCAGTCCAGAATAACAGCAAATTCATTATTTTTCTTAATTATTAAATGCTATTAAAATTAATACAAAATATTAAATACATAAAATATGAAAATAATTGATCAAATTCTGCAATGAATTTAGTAACTAAGAAACTTTTTGCGTGTTTTGCTTTGTGGCATTCCTTTTATTCGTTTTATGAGTTCAAAAAGTATTGAGGGGACACAGTTGTAGAATTCATCCACAATGTCCATGCAAATTACAGTATATGCTTTAAATTCACTGTCTTTGTGGTTTGCTTCATATTTCTAAGCCCATCACCATAGATGTGCAGGGCAGCTTGATTCCAATTAATCTAAGCCAGGCACCACAAAGTGCAGCAAAAGATTCAGACAGGAAACATTGTAGGGTATAATGCCTAAAACAGCAGTAAGTGCTGTTGGTTCAACAGGCGTTATGAGTACTTACAAAAATGTAATCCAATTGTTTTTGTTAATATCCAGTTCCATGGGACCCTGTAGTTCCCTATGTCTAACTCAAATACTTTAAAATTTGTGTGCTGACATGCACTGGTGGACCTGACAGAAAGCAGAAGAGAATTTAATGTACTTACACTTTAAATATGATCATATGTAATTAAAATTTGTTGGAAATAGATTTTGATGATCAATGTTAATACAAATACACCTAATGTTTGTTGCTTTTGTTGTGTTGTTTGTGTTGCAATTGTTGCATTTGAATCTATATATAATTTGGTATTATTAAAGGTGAAGGTACAGTTGGTAGGAAATATGGCCAAGCAAAGTAATAAAAACAAAAAGAACCTTGATGGCTTTGCCTGAAATGAAACATAAGACTAACAGATTTAAAAAAATGAAATGTATAGTATGAGGTTTATTTTTTTTGTGTTCAAGAGCCCAAAGTTGTTTTGTCTCAAATGTCTGTTGAATATGTTTAACTTCACTTACTATGGAATTACCCATGCCAGTGGCCTGATGTAACATTATTTCTTTAGGGCGGAAGAGGGGAGTATGGGCCGAAAGGACTGCCTGGGGAATCAGGAACTCCAGGAGACATTGTAAGATACTGCATTAAGTGAAAATTAAAACCTCTCCCATTCTGTAGGCCAGATAAGCTCTATGCATATGGCACTGCTAGGTCTAGGTACTGTGTTAGGTTGGCAAACAAATAGTTTACCAGACAGCAGCTATAGACATACATACTGCTGTAAAAAGTATTCTGACCCTTGCACGTTTTTCACCTTCTGTTGTTTAAAGCTTGCAGTCATGACACATTGAAGTAGCAATTAATATTTGTTATTTATACAACTTACTCCACACCTTCAAAGCAAAAATTTACATTTTACAAGAGAAGGAAAAAAATGTTACTTGCATTATAATTCAAATCCCTTCCTATGGCAAACAAAATAAGTCACACCCCAGCTATTCACTGTTCATCAGCACATAGATATGCTGGCTTTAGAAAGTTGTGTTAAAGAAAGAGAGACTCGAGTGGAGGTTGAAGAATTAAAATAATATATTGTAACGCTTACGGCCGACAAGCAGCGTGTGTAAGAGCCGGCGTACCAGAGCGGGTGACGTCACCGCCCTTCCCTGTGATAGCAGGACCACAGCTACTGGGCTGTGGAGAGATCTCTCTTT